GATATTCCTGCTTCTCTGTTCCTGCACACCTCTTCCATTTAACACCCCCCCCACAACCTTTCCTTGACCTGTGACCTTTGATCTGGTGACTTCCTGCTGTGTCATCCTCTTCTCTTCCTCCAGGCAGTTCTGCTGCTGGTCTTCTGGGAGCCTAGACTCTGACAAGAGGTCAGCTGACCTCTGCTCCTCCAGTCCAGATACGCAGCATGTGTAGGACACAGGCCTTTCCCGACTGATGCCCTCCACTTGAAATGGGGCCACAGCACTCAAACCCATCTGCCATAGCTTCCCCTGCTTTGGAGCCATGTCCTCCCAGGGGGTGACGTTTTCCCACCGAGCAGCAGAAGGCCAGTCTGGGGACAACACTGCAAGGTAGGAGGCAGGGCATGATGGGACCCAGAAGGGACACCACTCTAAGATGAAGGAGAGGAGGGGGCCCTTGGAAGGGCTGGGGACAGAGATTCAGAAGTGGGAGGGAGAAGAGTCCCTTTTATGATGCTGGGAGGAGCTGAGAGAGGGCCTAAGACTGGCAATAGCCACACGCTCCTGCGTGTGCCTGCCCTTTCTCACTCAGCTGGTTCAACTTAATGCTTCCCACTACACGGCCCGGTGCAGCTCCAGTGGCAGGGTGAGAGAGGAAATGGGTCCCAGCTCTTCCCTGCTGTCGACGGACTCGGTGTCCAGTCCTGGCCCCTGCAATACTGCAGTGTTAGAGTGCAGGGTCACCCTGCCTAGTGCTCAATACGTCTTCAGTCTCTGGGGGGAGCCCCACCCTTGACACCCTGCAGCTCCTGCCCCCAACTCTGACTTCCATTGCCACTGACCCACCCTGCCCTTTGATAGATCTTCAAATCTCAGCTCAGTTTTCACCAGTCCCCTAATCTCCATCAACGTCCTGGCCTTTAAATCCTTCTGGCTGGCCCCTGCCTTTGAGGTCTTCATCAGCTCCCCCAAAGCTGGGTTTCTTACTCTCTCCCAGGCTGCCTTTGCTAACATGTTCCTCCCTTAGCCCAGCCCAGTCCTCTTCCCTCTCGCCTGCAAGCTCCAAAGGGACGTGGAGAGACCACCTGTCCTTTCCAGGGTGGTAGCTGAGAGAGGTGCTGGGTTGTGAGCTGCCTGTACATCCTGGAGGGGCGAGGTAGGGCTACGGCTTTGCAAAGGTGCTCGCCTCCCACCCTAGGGTGTCACAACACTTCCCCAGGCAGAGTGCTCTGTTTATACAAACGGGGCCTCTGAGTATCCCAGAGGACAAGCAGCTCCTCATGCCACCCGAGCGATCACCACCGCGTCCACTCCCCAGAGAGACTGAGTATCTTGCACTCAGCTGACTGCTGGAGTGGAGGAGGTCATGGCACAGGCACAGCCAGGCTCCCACCTCACCTCTCTGTCCAGCATTAGCCCTTCAAACCTCTCATCATTTTCTTCCAGGAAAAAACCTGTACCTCCATTTCCTGCCAAGGGGATGCCTGCTTCAAAGAGCAGGACACTCCAGCCATGCGTCCCAAGAGCTTGAACTTCTGTGAGGTGGGTCTTCAATGCTTCCAGAATGAAGTAACTGTCTTCTCACAGAACTGTAGGCCTGGAGTAGCTCAACAGTGGAGTCTAAAGGGAGCTATATTTGTGGAGAGCCAGCCTGTCTGGAGTTGAGCAAGCTTGACCCTCTCGGCTTTACATAACGCAGGGCATCAGGTGGAATTTTCCAAGGCTCTAGAATGGGGCCCCTTGTTTCTGACCTACTGGTTTTCTGGGAACTGACCACCTGACCTCATGGGGAAGCTCAGCTCAGTTCTAGTTTCATTGAGGCGTCTTGCCTTCATGAGCTGGGGGAAGGGCAAGGGTAACATGAATGGTTATTTTGTCTCCCCCAGCCCCCGGAACTGAGGACTGAACCCAGGGTCAAGCACCCTACCACTGGGCTAAATCCCCAACCCCTAACGTGAATGGTCCTGTCTGTTCTTGTGGCTCAAATGGTCCAGCTCAGGCTGCAGCCAGGCTTACATGGTGGATGCACCCAGGTGTGAGGAAGCAGAGACTGGGCCCTGCTACCTGGAGTGCTGTCAGCCTAGGCCTCAGGCAGCTGCCTCCAGCTGGATGGGACTTTTCACTTCAACAAGGCCACTCCAGGAGTCACCAGGAGCCCCCTGCCCTGATTGTTGCTACATGGCTGCTCCTCCACATTCTCTGCTCCTGTCCCCAGTGCACAATTTGAGTTCAGCAGAATCAGAGAGCAGCGTTTGAGAAGACTATGTGGGCCCTGCAAGCCTCCACATCTCCCTGTTCCAAATCCTGGAACTGTATCTTTAGTGAGCAAGACTTGTCAAGCACCTAATATTGCCCTCTGGCTTTCATATGCATGCACATACAAGTGCCTGTGCACTCCTTTTTTAAAAATTTATTTTTATTTTATGTGCACTGGTGTTTTGCCTGCATGTATGTCTGTGTGAGGATGCCAGTCCAGGCTCTTTGCTTCCCACTCACAGGCCTGAACATGGGCCCTCCAAGGTGGCAGGTCCTTATCCCTGATCCCAAAGAGAAGCCTGAGCTTTACTGGAGAGGGATACACCTACATGACCCACATACCATGGGAAGACCCCCAAATCCTGCAGGGAGAGTTCCTTCATCTAAGAAACTGCTTAGCCCCATCTCATTTCCCCAGACCCTCCAACCATCAGCATTAAGGGGGTTCCCTGTTTTCCTTTATCAACCTTCACCCCCTTGATCTCTGACCAGTTCCCTTTCCCCCATGTGACTTTGAAACTGTAGTCCAATAAACTTGAACTCCAGTTGTTCTGTGGACATTTCTAGGAAGAGACAACCAGGAAGATATACCCGTTTCTGGAAGGGGGTTTGCACATTCGGGTTGAACTGGTTATCAGAATGCAATTCAGAACAAAAAGGAGAGTGGTAAGTTAGAAGTGGGGGTCAGCAAGATGGTTTAGTAGACAAGAGCGTGTGCTAAGCCTGAGGACCTGAATTTGATCCTTCACATGGTGGAAAGAACCAACTCTCAGCCAGGTGGTGGTGGCGCACGCCTTTAATCCCAGCACTTGGGAGGCAAAGGGCAGGTGGATCTCTGTGAGTTCGAGGCCAGCCTGGGCTACCAAGTGAGTCCCAGGAAAGGCGCAAAGCTACACAGAGAAACCTTGTCTCA